GCTGCTGCCATCAACGCCTTTGTTTCTAGATGTTGGAGCTTGGCCTGTTTTCCAGTGTAGTCCTGTTTCTCTTCTAGACATAGGCTCTGTTCTCTCTTTCATCCTTTGACATGAAAACTGGTTCTTGCCTGTTTAACCGTTTCTTTCCCAGACAGCGCCACCTGTGGAGCTAGTTTATAGTTACCTTTTGTAGCATAGAAAGCATTTGTCTATCAGTGTTTCTATGTTCCTCTCATTAGTCCAAATTTACATGAACAAATCTTTTAACATAACCTCTGATCAAGTGTTGTTTCTTTAGTGAGTTGTTATTTTCATCAATAATGAGGATTGAAATGCTTCTACTAGAACCATCCATCTGACCTGAATGTTGTTTATTATTTGTTTAATAAAGTATCATTGAATTTAATTCATAAATTCAGACACCTATGCATGTTTTTATTGACATATATCTTGCTCCATAAAACCAGCTCACTATCCCCTTATTTTGTGTTTAAAGTGAAAAGAATGAATGAATCATAGAGAGATTTATTTATTTCTTTGAACCATATTTTTAGTTTTTTTTAACCATAGAGTGATTCCGGGGGTGTCTGGGCCACCCAGGACAGTAGAAACGCCCCTGCACCGTGGACGCCTCCTTTCCCAGCAGCCATCAACAAGTGTCTGTGCAGCTTGGGAAGCTATTCTCATTCAAATGGCCCCTGTAGAGTCGTGGCCCTTCCCATTGGCCCCTGAGCGCAGAGTCGCTGTGAACCAGAGGAGCAGCTTCAGTCTGGGATGTTGGGGCCGTTTGACAGCTTCCCTGACTGGACGCGGACTTCTTCAGGCTTCCACTGAGTCAAACTTAAAGTGATGAGGCTCCACGCGCGTCGCAGGTAAACAGAAAGGTGTGCTCTGTGGAACCCGGGGTGTGACGTGGATAATTAGCCAGTTAATTTAGATCACCCGGTTCGACCTGCTGGGAGGAAGGCAGAGCTTTTTAAAGCGGCTGTGATTTTAACTTTCCCAAAACACGTCCGGTCAGACATGTACAGCCTGATGGAGCCCAGCGGGCAGCCGCAGAGCCACCAGGCCGCCGGGATGTCACCCATCACCGGGACCAACGGCGGCGCGCTGCCCAAAGCGGCGTGCGCGCCCGGAGGCGACCCCATGGATAAGGTCAAGCGGCCCATGAACGCCTTCATGGTGTGGTCCAGGGGCCAGAGGCGGAAAATGGCGCAAGAAAACCCCAAAATGCACAACTCCGAGATCAGCAAGCGGCTGGGGGCGGAGTGGAAACTTCTGACGGACGCGGAGAAGCGGCCCTTCATCGATGAAGCCAAGCGGCTGCGGGCCGTCCACATGAAGGAGTACCCGGACTACAAGTACAAGCCGCGCCGCAAAACCAAGCCGCTGCTGAAGAAGGACGCGCAGGTGGGGAAGTACCCGCTGTCAGCCGGCAACCTGCTGAGCGCGGCGGCGCAGAGCCAGGGCGGCAGTCCGAGGATGGAGGGCTACGGCTGGGCTCCGGCCGGAGGCTACGCCGGCATGCAGAGCGAGGCGCTCAGCTACACGCAGCAGCTGCACCGGTACGACCTGTCCGCGCTGCAGTACCCGCCCGCGATGACGGCGGCGCAGAGCTACATGAGCGGAGCCAACTCCTACAGGTGGGTCCGCCTCATTCACTGAGGAGAAACCAAACTGCTGGCAAGGAACCAGGAACCACACAAACTGTTCACTATCCTTCCTCCAGCATAAAACCTGCTGCCTAAAAACACTTTATACAAGTTAGAGCATCAATTTAAGCTTTTTACGCCAGTAAAAGTGTAAAAGTACCAGTTTAAAAACTACTTAAAGAATAAAAGCAATGCAGGAAAACTGTTAAGGGCAGAAGCTTTACTGCTCTACTCTATTAAAGGAACATTTTTATACAATTCTGGATAACTTTATTTTCTTAGTTTTATAACTAATGCTAACAGCGTCACATTTCACTTTGCATCATCTTGAAAAACTATTTATTTTGGCATGTGGAGAGCAACAGGTTGGGGCAGCACCGAGTCCAGCCACAAAGAAATTCATTGTCTGGATGAAACTAATTTTTATTTTTTTTAAATGCCAACAGTTCAGAATGAAAATGAGCATAAATGAAACAAAACTAATGAGTAGAAAGTAAAAAGTTGTCTAAATAAAATAATTGCTGCAGTAAAGTATTGATAGCCAATATTTCTACTCTAAAGCAACAAAGTATTTGTACTTTTTTCACCTCTGGTTGTTAATTTTAAAACGTCTAGTCTGTATTTATTTATTTTTGGTTTTTGACATCTCTTATTGAACCCCCATTTTTATTTCCACATTTTTTTCTTTTAATGTTCTGAAGAGGAGAGGGAGGAAAAAAAGTAATAAAAAAAATTAACATTTAAATCATACAGTTAGTAACCCAGTCGGTTTGTTTTTTATTCCCACTGAGAAATGTTATTTTAAAATATGTTCGCAAATTGGCACATTTAATAATGGATTCATAAATGAATTTTATAGTTTTAAATTGAATTTAAAATGGTTAATTTCTTTTTTATGGGCCCTCCTGGTCCTCCGTAGAACATCCAACATTCCTTCAGGTATGAATTAACAGCTGACTTTTCTTAATATCTCTAATTTTCTAAACATGAATCATTTAATTCCTCATGAATAAAGGAATGCGAATAAAAAAAGGCTCCAATTCGAATTAATTTCCTTCAAACATGTTGAGACTGACCGTAACGCGCCGTAATAAAATGAGCTTAAATCACACAAAACTAGAGTCTATTTTTAAAATATAAGAAGTAGAAAGTAAAAAGTTGTCTAATTACTTTAGTAATGTATAAATAGCCAATATTTCCTACTCAAGTAAAGTATTTGTACTTTACGTGATGCCTCTGGAAAGTACATTTAAGTCGTTTTTTATTTGAGTATTTTTACTTAAGTAATTTTCTGGGAGTATTTATAACTTTCCCTCCATTTCCAGGAAGCTTTTTTAATCCACTGTTTTTCTTTCTTGGAATGTGAGGATGTAACTTGGTGGTGAAGGTTGGTGGGGACGCTCTGATATTTATATTTATAGATATTTGGACATTAATGTGTTAAAATATGAATACCAGCTGATGCTAACAGCAATATATCAGGCCTCCTTAGTGTGACCACAGTTTTATTTACCTATACAGAAAAATGGGGATTTATTTTTTCTTTCCTCTTTTCAGCTTCACCAGTGATAATCTTCCTTCAAAAGCAGCAAAATCAAATTTAGGAATTTGTCCCACACATCGTTGAAAGCCAAAGTCTATGTATTGAAGTTATTGGTGAGGACGTGTCCATCCCAGTACTACAGAAAGTTCGGCCTGTGCTGAAACGCAAACATGGCGGATAGAAGCCGTTGGGACTGAATCTGGACGCCACTGATCTACAGATTTAATGACGTTCCTCTAATGAGAGAAACTCAGAGCAGATAATATTAGTAGTTTATTATCTTATTAAGGCGTTAATTGTTGCCATGAGGTCAAGTTGTTCATTAGGATGAATCTCAGATCAGAGTTCTAGTTTCTTTAGATTCAATCTCTAACATCTGTTCCAGGAAAAATGAGGAGAATAAAGATGCTCCTGCTTCTTTTTGGTTTGTTTTTAAATTAGAAGTGATAATCAAAATAATTGTCCTTTTTTTTTTTTGTTGCTTTTCTCTGCCGAAGTTCTTTCCAGGTGGTGTAGAATCTATATCAGGCGGTTCTACGCTTGAATAAATCAGGTGGTTTCTGAAAGTTGCAGCTTTTTTTAAAATTACAGAAATGTTCTAATATTAGAAAAGTTAATTTGTACTTTTAAATACTGAAGTACTTTTAAATACTGAAGTACTTTTAAATGCTGAAGTACTTTTAAATGCTGAAGTACTTTTAAATGCTGAAGTACTTTTAAATGCTGAAGTACTTTTAAATGCTGAAGTACTTTTAAATGCATGTACTTTTAACTACTGAAGTACTTTTAAATGCATGTACTTTAAAATACTGAAGTACTTTAAAATACTGAAGTATTTTCAAAAGTGAGTACTTCAATACTTTCACTTGAGTAGCTGTTTGACTAAGTAACTTTTACTTGTAGTTGAGTAAAATTTGACTTTGAGTATCAATACTTTTACTACTGCTGAGTACTTCTGTAAACGAACAAACCTACGGCTTCCACTAAGAAACAATAAAAGTAAATATTTCTATGCATTTATAGTTTATTTTAACTCTTTGTTCTCCAGACCTCCTATTAATAAACTTTTACAGGAATTAAAATAACTTCAAAGAAAACTTGAAACGTCCAAAAACGATCAGTCCTGTTTCAGAGGGACCTACAATAAAAGGCTTTTTGTGATGTAAATTCGTCTTTAAAAGCGTTTATTAGCAATCAGTCATCTAGGGATCCATCATTTGGGATCTGGCTAATCGCTTTAACATATTTCATTCACATAAAAAAGCGAAATGCATATTTTAGAGGTTAATAAAGTCAGAATTGGCCATTTTGGCAACATGTCTGCCACTTTTTCCCCACTTATAGAAGGTGTGTGCTCAGATAATCAGTCCTACTGGCTTAAAGAATAGATTTCCCTTTTTTCCAATTGGTTGGTTGATATTAAATAAAGGTGCTACTGGAATAAAAAAGGTTTTTATTTCAGGCAGAAAGACCCGTATCTCCGACGGAGGGCGATGCTGTGGCTCAAATGAGTCAACAGGGTTTAGTCGTTTAATTTAAGTTTCTCTTGGATCAGAAAGTCCAAAAAGGAAACCTTCAGGTTGTCCTAAATAAGTTTGTTTTACTTTCAGTTCATTTTAGATGAATAGATGGCCCAGCCGGGTTCCTAGGACTCGGTTCCTGGAACCTGGAGCACGGTTTGTTCTGTTTGCTGCTTGTCATGCTGCGGGCCGTGATTCCGGGCTGGGCCCCTGCTAGGAATGTTGATCAAGCCGACCTGATGAAGTGTCAAACAGGGCAGAGCTGCAGGATGTTAGCATCTCGCTAATGATGCTAATGAATTCCCTGCGTGTCGTTTTCCCTTTTGATTTGCTGCAGATTTTTAATGAAAAACTAATTAAAAACCTGAAAGTTTTCCTTAAATGTGTCTAAAGGATGAAGGATAGCGGTGTCTGTGAACGCACCACAGCATTCGCAACACTTCCTGTTTCTACGCAGCTTGGAAACGCTCCACTCCTCTTTATGCTCCCTCTAGTTTTTCCTGAATTTATTTAACTTTTTTTTTCTAAAGTAGTAGTTTTTAAAGCTGCGTCCGCGGCGCCCCTGAGGGGGACGCCAGGGGGCCAAAAATGAGGGCCCCAAAAAAAAGACTTAGGCCCCATCCACACGAAGTCAAAACGAACACGAAACGCTGATATTTTCCAAAACGTTTGCTGTAAAGACGGAGACGT